ATCTGATAGTGTGATAGGTTAGAATGGTACTATATGGTACTATATATAATACTATGCTCTGTGTGTGTTGCTGTCATGTTATTCATAATGTGGTTTCATGCTAAGAGGTTAAAACAGTAAAAGGTTTGAAATAAATATTCATTTACATAAGCCTTCAAAATAGTTAAATACAGTTAAAAATCAGCTAAAATGTTTATTCAGTTCTATTTTTCAATAATATCCCGGTCATTTCATTAAACATAATTGTAATCATATCATCAGATTGTGCACCATTTCTCCTCATTGCGTTAAATTTCTGTGTGAGAGAAATAACACACGATCACTGTCGTGATTCCTTCTCCCAGTTTTCAGAGGTGCAACATTCCCCATCTCCAAGGGTACAACATTATCAGCTTCCAAATATTGGTCCTTATATTATTCCTACTTTGGAATATAAATGAATGAAATAAGATTATTTTACTGTTTGTAGAAAATCTCATAATATTTAAACTTTTCAGTAAAATCTGTTCTGTGATCTGTTCTGTGACTCCATGACGGATAAGTAAGAGCTCCATGACACATTTGGATCCGTTCAAATGTGTTTACGTTTTGTTTAAAGAAAATCAATGTTGATATCAGTCTGTGTGTGGAGAGAACATTATAAAATGATAGAAAGTTGATTTTGCATACCTCATCTTTCAAATTAAGCTTAATTAATTTTGTTTAAAGAAAATCAATGTTGATATCAGTCTGTGTGTGGAGAGAACATTATAAAATGGTAGAAAGTTGATTTTGCATACCTCATCTTTCAAATTAAGCTTAATTCTATGGTGGGATTTTCAGTTTTGACTGTCTGAGGGTGGATGTTTGACCTGGTCTATGGTTAGTTCAACAGTTCAACACATCGGCATGAATGAACAACAAGTGGTTTCAGAAAGTGGTGTCAATTATTGAGCCCCAAAGACATGATTGTTGTCAGCTGGACTTTAAATCATAAGATGAACATAGTACATTTGTGAACTTAGTCCCAATCAGTTGGGATCAAGGGGCAGTTTTGGTTTGATATTTCTTTTTGAAGCAGTGAACCTCAGAGAGTTATACCCATAGGTGTCAAAGTGATGTAAAGTTACCATTGCCATAGCATTAACAAATCAACACAATAAATACATAATTTGGATGGTAGAAAGTCCTTAATTCTAGAATGTGATGATGTCATACTTCCAGATGGGGACAAGAACCACTTCCTCCAATTGATTACATTGTTTTTGTCATGAAAACCTGATTTTCTATTAATAACTACACCCAATAACACAAATTTGCACTTTAAAAATATTCAATATAGCTGCCACCCATCAGTATTAAATATTAGTATAGAATGTTGTGATGTCATCTAAAACCCAGCAATAGGCTCAGATTCTCCATGTGACATTATGACATCAAATTCCACCACAACCAACCTATTAGCCGCCTGTGGTCTAGTCATCAGTCTGAAAGGAACTCACATGGGAGCAGCTGTGAGAATACACTTTAGTGGTTTAACAGTGAACACCATTCAATATTTGACCCTGAAGAAGCAGCTATGTTCCTGCCATAAAGGCATAAATAACAGCAAACACAGGCAAACAGAGGCCATTGTGAGCCTGGACCTTTAGCATACACTTTCCTCCCATCAATAGGAATCCTTTCAACTGGAGCCTGCATTTTATTGCTCCCTACAGGAATTACACATGAGGTGGACCTGTTACCACAGAGTGCAGTGGGACATCTAGAGTATCCCACCAACCCAAATGCTGGAGGTTCGATCCCGGCTCTGGCCTGTGAATACTGTCTTGTGTACCTGTGTCTTTTAGCAAGACCGTTCATTTTCCTCAAAAGTTGTATTTTCAGTTTTACTTGCATGAATGAATGAAATCAGATCACTGGTGGACTGATTTTGCACTTGTGACATAAAAACCTGCATGAAAGTTCAAGTTAATATAATTACTGAATTGTTTTGGACTATAAGTGGCACTTTTTTTCATGGTTTGGGTGTTTCCTGCGACTTATACTCCGGTGCGACATACACATTAAACTTTTCAGACTGACAGCCGCGAGAGGCTCTAGTCTTGTGTGTCAGTATCTAGTACTACTGTTACTCCTGTACCACTGTCACTCAGCCTGTTGTTCTCTATTCTGTTGTCATTTCTATAACTTGCCTTTCAAGATGAAATGTCAGCTCCTGGTCTCTGATTTTACAAAAAATATTTCCCGAAAAAGTGCGACTTATATATGTTTTTTCTTCTTCATTGCTCATTTTTTGGCTGAAAGTACGGGATGTCTTTACTTCTGTGGGGTATCTTATTAGCTCACTGTGTTACCTTTTATTGTTAAGAAAATGTTATATTTGCAGAAAACATGTTTTATAAGTATCTGTTATATATTATAAGTCCCCTCTCCCTTTGCTCCCCATGCAAAGTCACTCCCCCTTCAGAGTGATACCACAACACAATCAGCGTGCATCCTGCTAATGAAACTACTGCACATTACATCAGGTTTGTCAAATTGTGTACAGTTTTGTATCGTGATTTTGTCTGTCTATGGAGAACTGTGTGGAGGAATGGATGGCGTAGACTTGTGGGCAGAGCAATGCAAAGAATCGTACAACTAACAGAGGGCTCTGGAGAGTTTGCAAAATTGCATAACATGCATGTTTTTGGTGAGGGAACGTTATAACAAGGTAAGAAAACAATAAATTTTGCATAATACCACCTCTTTATAGAGGTTTTGTATTAGGAAGGTCCTTCTTATATAGCAAAGCTTTATATTTTGACTTCCTGGTTGGACATGAGTGAACATGTTCCATAACGTTTTGCAACCATAAAGTTAGAAAGGGCCAAAAACTGTAATTTACACAATCAGTTCAACTCAGCACTACTTCCTATCATTTTCAGGTGACACTATAAGGCCAAGTTACAGGTCAGATCCACTGAGAGGCAACACTGCTCACAGTAACCCCCATCACATGTCACTCAAGCTCCTGGTATAAAGTCTGGGTAAAACGACATGTTTTTCAAGGTATTTCTGATCAGTAAAAACACATAAGAAAATAAAAGCAAGATAAGTGAAAAGAAAAGTTACACTGTGCCCCTTTAAGTAAAGTGATTACAAATGTATATCTGGGAAATGGGGTATTTTGATCAATTGTAGGTTTTGGAGAAACATTTATCATTTTAGTTCACTCAATAAAATATATGTTTTATTGATTAGAGTTTGTCTTTACGTGGTGATATCTGTACTGTTTCTGTTGTGCAAAATTTGCAGCAAAGCTACATTTATAACAATCCCAAAACATTACTCAGTACTCAAGTAGCATACTTTTTTACTCTTATACTTATTGAGTTTGCTGCGTTTTTAAAGCCAACTCTATTTTCCATATTCAATCAAAGGTGTTTTTATGGTTAAAAAAATATCTATCCTTAATACTCTAAAAAATATGTATCCTATGTATTTGGAGATGTAATGTTTTGAATGAAATATACAGAAATCTCATCATTAGATTATCATTATTATTATTATTATTATTATTATTGCTAATGTTACTAAGAGTTATTCATAAAATCCTGAGAATTATATAGCAGAATTTGTTCAATTCTCAGATTGCACATTTGTTGACCTGTTATATTGTTGTTTCTGTAATTACTGGGCCTATTCACATGAAACAAAAACTGGCACAAACTTCACTGTCTTCTTAGTTTCAGAAAGTGGTGCCATGTTGGCAGTTGAGACTTTAAGACATAAGTTTAATGTGACAAGTTCACGAGCCAGTCCCAAACAGATGATAAGAAGGTTCAACATTTGTGGACCATAAGTTAAATTATTTGTTTCAAACAGTGAATCTCCCATAGAGTTATATAAGCACTTGCTCACCATCTGGAATCATGACATCATCAAATTTTAGATTGTGAAAACATACAGTTTACACAACCCAAACGACTCATCTACACCTGACATTACTGGGGAAAATCCATTTACTTTGGGAAAATGGGGTCCAACAAAAAACCTTCAAAATGTAGGCAAAGTATACAATTCCTAGAAGAAGTGCTGCAGTAATGTACAGACAGAGGTCTAGTCCAAATCACTGCTCTTAATCATCTGTCAAAGAAGGAAATGTTTTGTTTTTGTTTTTCATAAAATACCTATTGGCACAAATGGCAAAAGCAAAATAAAGTTCCTGGTGACATAAGTATAGGTCCAGTTCATTTGATTTAAGGAATACTAACAACTCAAAGGACAAGAATAAAGTGGGAAATTAAGAAATATGTAGGTTACTTTTTGTGTAGAGCTCATTTTGAAAAATCACTGTGGCTTATCTCCATAAAGTTCATTCATAATTAATGACAGTGTCTAGTAGAGTTGCTAAAGTATAGGGTTGCCAAAAGTATGAGATACTAATTGATACTAGATACTATATTTGAGCAGGCTACACTTTCTTGAGCTGTATCAGAAAAGTCTAAGAAAACACAGTATACACCCACTGTGGAGCATACCTGGACAACGGAGGAATTCTAAAAGAAAGTACTATGACTGAATGTGTTCTGATACAACTAGGGATCATTCTAATACTATTGGGCAAAGACTTTTTCAGTATTGATACTTGTTTAATCGAGTATCTAGTTTCAATATTAGTTTTTGTGTTGTTTAGTAGCTGATACTTTTTCCATATTTTTGACAACTAGAATAACTGATGTACAATGGAGAACACATTAAAACTTCATGAGTGCTCAGCACTGTACTCCTAAAGCTCTTTTTACAATAGAAGACACTGTTCCAAAAATGTAACCCTTCAACAGAAAATGTGATATTATTAATTATAATTTTGTCATATTGGCTATCTCTGAATTTGAACTTATTCTGTGATTGACAATAGAGTAGAAAAATAAGAATCTGAATGATTCTGGTATAAACAAAGTAGAGCTTTAAAAAAAAAAAAACACACAAGAGTGAAAGATGTTAAAACAGGAGAAGGGCTTGAGTGGACTTACGGGTTTGGGCATTTTGCGTCTGTCCTGTCCCTGGATGTGGCTGGGGAGCGGTGGAGTTTCGGGTGAGGTGAGAGCGGTGTGTCCTCTGCTCCTCCTGCGCTCACACAAAGAAGAGAAACGAGTTTGAGCCGCTGCGCCTGCACTTAAAGCCAACCACAAGAGGAGTCACTGTGATGAATCACCACCAACTGAGCAAGAGCAAACCGGAAAGAGAAGCAGGACATCTTCAAAATAAAAGTCCAAAATGAAAAAGAGAAGGTTATAGGGCTAAACCATTTGGGAAAAATTCTAATTGGGATTTTTCTGACAAGCATTGTGATGGTGATGTTTTAATAAGAGGATTTTGTTCAACATTCACATTTTAAACCCAACAATTTCGCAAAAAATGAAATAAGAACTGAGAAACTAATACAAGAACCATGTTACCTGGTTATCAGTTTTTTGTTTGTGGAGTGAATTATGGTACATAAATTGCCAGTTTGCTATTTTCATCCATTCAAATTGCAATTTTGCTCCAACTGTGATTAATCCTGCATGTAGAAGGTTGCTTGTCAAGCTTGTGAATGTGCTAGAAAGATGAGTGAGAGCTGCAAGACACATCACATTTATGAGATGTCCAAATTATTCAGTTAATCAATAATCATTGATGAATCACTTTCAGAGGCCAGAGTGGAGTTTTGTTGGCACGGCAATGCTAACGAGCAGCATTCTAACCATGCAAAGAGCTATATTCATGTTTTCATAGAAATCTATACTGGACTCGAATTTGTAGAGATGTAAAAATCAGATCTCTGCTTTGAGGAGATGGGGGATGCTGCAGCCAAGCACATGTCAGATCACAACAGAGCTCCACTCAGACCAGTCCTCAGGGCATTCACTGCTGTCAGTGTCTCTTTCATGTCATCCACATGAAGCAGCAACTGCAGTTGCTCCTGGTGAACTGCTTGTTTGGATCAAGCTTTCTGAAACCTATGACGTGTAACCAAGATCTGCACATTCTATCCTGAGCAAGCTCCTGGCAGCCACGTCTGTGGATTTGTATCACTGGGCAGCTACTAATGTTACTACAATACTAACATTTTAAAATCAAAGCTTGATACTCAATACTGATTATATATACACTGATATACTGATTTCAAAACACACACTTTTTAGACTATTTAAAGTATAATGTTATTTTTTGTTGTGTTTTATAGTATTTTAATACATCCATGTAATCTGATAATAGATTTGATATTGATCAAGAGTTTTCTATAATTATGAACAGCCAAATGATCTTTCCAATAACACTTGTTAACGTGAGAAGGCAGTCTGTACTTTTGATACTTCAAATAATATCTGGCTCTACATTTTTTGTCAAGAGGTAAATCAAGTCTTTTAAGTTGAAATTTTAAGGAGGAAGTGTTGTATGTTTATAACGCTCACACGGTTGCTTGGATCCAGTCACCATCCACAGACATGCAGCAGGTTAAAAACGGCACTTCGCCTCACCCTGTGATAAACTCCCCACCCTCCACTGTCTTAAACTCTCTACATACGCCTTTATTTGCGAACAAACCCACGCCCACAACCACTTCACTTAGAATTTTAGAACAATTACCCCAGACTCACTAGAAGCGCAATGTGACTTCACTAAAAACATATAATAAGGGACGTCAATTCCTTATATTTTACTGCGAATAAATAACCGCATTTTACGCACGTCTGGCACGGCTCCACGCCCACATCAGCAGGGATTGTAATCCAACAAACCAGTTATTCCACTCTTTGTCTCTGGACAAACCTAAGAGCGCCATATATAGACAGAAGATTTAACTTGTTCAATTACAACAAGGCGACGCGCTCCAGCCACAAACCCCTCTGTCCGCGCGACACTCCATCCTCCTCCTGGAGACACCTGTTGGGAGATTTGCCTCCCGCAACATTCATAAAGTACGCGTAAAGTCTATGGTATTCACTTGAATTCAAAGTTAGTGATTTGAGTCACACAAAAGAAAAGAGTGTGCGAAGTAGAGTAGGTCTCTTACCGGATGGTTGGAGACTTTAAATGTGATGTGACAGAGAGTGTTTTCCGCGACAGTCCCCCCTCCCTCCCTCCTGTCTATGGCTGCAGCCCAACATGGCGTATACCCACAGAGCCCGTGGCCAGTGCGCTACGTGCCCGCCCGGGAGCGCTGTTTTTCGGGTCAGAGCTTCACAGGAGGAGGAGGGTGGGTCACTCCAGTACACGCGCTTCAGATGTGATATTAAACTGATGATATCCTTCTGAGAAGAGCACATCAGACAGATACATGATCTTCCTTTTCTTGTCAAGTCATTCATTCACAACGACACACATCTTAAACACATGTGTGGTTTGTTTGTGTGCCTGTCACTTAGTGTCATAATAATATTTGTATCACTGGACATCCTGCATCATGTCGAAATAAAGGACAACCAGGCTTAGTCATGACCATTTTGCTTCTAAGTACTTAACATGCTTTGTAAATATCCCGTGACTCAAGACGCACTACAGCATATTTCATGAGTGCTCTGGCGCGCGCGCGTGCGTGTGTGCGTGTGCACAGTCGGCGCACGGTGAGGCTCATGTGGGCGTGTCTCGTATATATTCACTGGATTGATCGGTTTTTAATCTCGCACTGATGGAAGAGACACAATAAGAAAAGCGCCTCTGTCGCTCTTCTGTCTCTTCTGTCTCTTCTGTGTCTTCTGGTTGGTGGTTGGTGTTTAGAGATGGGATGGGACGCGCCAGACGCGCACAGTATGAAGAGGAAGTCTGAAGTGAGTGGGCGGGGTAAAGTGCAGCTGACCAATGGCAGGGGAGGGATTAAAATAGTGCCGTATATATCAGAGGTACAGACCACAAAGAGAAATGTACCGTGCCACCGCGACTATTCACCAGCTCCGTGTAAAAGTTCCACTATGTCACTGTCCACATCAGATGACAATCAGTGCAACAAATATTTTCATTTGATGTCATAACGCTGTAATCTGATCAAAGGTTAGAAGAGTAGGCAGGTAGGAAAATGTTGAAATTATGATGTTTTGATTCATGATTAATCTCCGGAATTACTGACCCGTACAACGTCAGTGTTAAACCCAATCTGTGAGTGCAGTTTCTATTTATTAAGAAAAAAAAAAGTGTGACCACTGTAGGATTGTAGAACACATTGTATTCATGTGTTGTAAAATATATGTCCAAAAAGCACAAAAAGAGCAAATACAGAATCATAATAATCATTTATTTATTCATTCATTTATGGCAGTGCCCATCTGACATTATTATGTGATCTATGTTACAATGCTGTTTCTTCTTCACAAACATGCCCTCTTATTTCACTCATGTGTAACACACAAACTGAAAACAGTCTTATGATGTCATGTGTTAATACAGCAAGTGCTCCACTGTGTTTTTAAACTCCACCCACCTTCACTAGAATCATCTGGATGATTTCTGGAATTGCCAAACTCAACTGAATTAAAAGTAAATGTTGTTAAAGGTTTTTCTGCTAGGGGGTCCGCCACAAACTTGTCTCCATGGAGGTATTATTGCTTTGCTTGAGAGGTTCTACAGTGTGGCATTAAATTCATCTGTTGCATTTATTCAGTCACAGGTGTGCTCAAAAATACATTTCTGCAGTGAGTGAGCGCGCCTCTCCACAGATCTGACTTGTAAGGAACTGTGTCCACCAAAAAGTTAGAGTGCATGTGTAACTTGAAAACTACCACTACATGACATCACAAGGTGGAACAGAAAATGTGACCTTTGGAGATGTAGACAAACTAATAATAAAGGTTTAATCAAACATGAGTGAATGAAACAAAACACACCTGTTATGTGTGACATGTTTTTGAGGAGGGAACATTATAACTTGGCTTTAAGAGTAAATTTTGTGTAAGAAAGGACCTTTACAATCTCTGTTAAAGAAATGTAAATAATAGATTATAGCAAACAAGCCACAGCCCATAAGCAAATAAATAAATAATAATAATAATAATAATAATAACAATAAACAACAAACAGAGTACAACAGAAAGAAATGTGTTTGTTTTTTTTTGTTTTTTTTTTTGTTTTTAAGTAAGTTGTCCACTGCTGGTCACATGACTGGTTTGAGTTGAGTTCTACAGCTGAGTAATGTGAGCTCCTCCCTTATTTGAAGAAGACTGTCCCAGATCCCTGGGCGCATTCATATTAAACAGTAACAGTGTTAGGTGCAGCATGAAGGGCATATCGACCGAGGATGTGTAGTCAGATCTGTGGAATTGAATGTCATTGTGTAACAAGGAAATACAGTTATAAATGTTTGTAAAAAGGTATTTGTACAAAGCTCCCTTGGTTAAAAATCTACCAAAATGATATCATTTGTATGGGATTGTTAAATGTGATATCACAGCTCCACAACAGAAGTAAGAACTTTAACACTAGATCACAAATTAAAATATATAATATATAATAACCTTATGTCTGAAAAGCTTTGTCATTTTTGTACAGTCAAACATTTGAAAAGAGTATTGTCCAAAACCCTGGAGCAGGTTAAATGTGCTAAAATGTCATTATAGTGAATTAGACTGTAATTCCATTGGATATAAACATAGTGTTATAATGTCTTGTGTAATTCATAGCCTCTGCAGAGCCTTGGGGTTATGCAAAACACTTCTAAATTTACCTACTATAACAGTCGTCTCAAAGAACTGTTTACTGTGTTCTGCCATTATGCAAATTCTTCTGAACCACATCATTTCAGCACCGACAATAAGAGCCAGCCTCCAATTTCCTCAAAACCTATAACAATCATTTGATTTAAAAAAAAAAAATGTAAATTGAGGGATGCATTACTTATGGCATACAGTAGGTGTCAGCATAACCATATTAAAATGCAGTAATTGCCGTCAACGTAACAGAACCAACATAAGAAAATAAGAAAATTCTCAGGACTGTCAAAGGAGGCACCTTACAGTCATGTCATCATGTGTTTATAGTGCAGTCCAAAATACAATAGTACAGCAAGTATAAACTGCTTCTCCTTAAAGTAAATGGAATTTTCAAAATCAGTCTTTGGCAAATGTCATAACTGAAGAAGACAGTCACATGAACACTGAGACATTTTTAGACAGAAAGAACAAAATCCATTGAAGAGTATTCATACCTGAAGTATTTGCAACTCTACATGGCCTGGAGTGGGGGAAACACTTATAACATAGCTAAAAGCTCATCAAAGATCATTTGACATAATATATCTTCTTTAAGAGTTCATCATTTGTTCATGTGTTGAGTCAGATTAGGTAATAATGTTGTATTGTGTTTATAGTGTCGTGTGCAAAGAGCTCGACACACACTGAACAATGACACTGAACAAAAGGACATCAACATATTTCTTACTACTTAAGTGCACTAATGAATAAGAATGAATGATTAAGTAAGTGTGTTACAGCTGTGGGGGAACAATAACAAAATACAGTCACAAGTGGCAATGATTGGCCCTCGCCCTGGTGCCCACTCCCCTCCCACGCAACCGCCAGGGGCTCACGACCACCCCGGCACAACATTTTCTCTTCCCGACAGCCGTCCAGACCGACAGCTCATCCACCAGAAAAATGACACAGTGTACCTTTAATATTTGAAAATGCAAATGAATCTAAGAACAAACTATAGAAACAAGGCCACAGGTCATGTGAGTTTTATGGTCAAGAGCACTGTCAAACTATAGAAGAACTACAGAAGACAATGCATGATAACACACCCTCCACCAGAATAGTTACATAGTGAAGCTTTAAATTTCTAAAAAATGAATTATTCTAGAGACAAAAGTAAGATAATAAAAAAAAAAATAGGGCATACGTCTATAGGCATAGGCCTTTCATGATCAGGAGCACAGCAATAAATGTTCTGCCAAAAAATAAAAATATAAATATAAATACATCATGGCCCAAATGAATACAAGGCAACCCCAACAGCAGTTACAGAGGCTAAGTGAAGTACCATCTGAAAGTCTCCTAGAAGATGTGAATGCAGCACTGAGAGTGATCCCTACCACAACCATCACTGAAACCAATGAGCTGATCTACACTTCAGCAGCAGTGATCCTAGAGGCGTTGGGCTATAAGAGCAACCATGAGAGCCATGAGATACAATACCCACCATGGAAAAGATGGCTAGAGGCTAAAATCAAGGAGGCACAGAGAGAGGCCAATGATAAATGCAATGAAAAATTACCCAAGAGGTACAGCCAGATACCCATATCTGAAACACTTCGAAACTGCTAAACAAAGGCTTCAAGCCTTGGCCAGCCACCTGAAGAGGTACACATGAGATAACAAAGCCAGATGAATAAACCGGCTGTTCGCAACACAACCTGTGAAAGTGTACGCTCAGTGGCAGGGAAATAACACCAGAGCAGACCCACCAAGGCTGGAGACTGAAAAGTACTGGAAAGGCATATGGGAGAGGGAGGCATCACATAACACTGATGCACAGTGGCTGGTGGATCTGAGAGAAAACCACAGCAACCTCCCTGAACAGAATCCAGTCACCATCACAGTAAGTCTCAGGTATGAAAAACTGGACAGGCCCTGACATGATCTACACTAAAGAAGAAGTGATTAAAGCTCACTACTCTCCACGAGCACCTGGCAGCACAAATTAACCATCTGCTAATGGATGCTATCGGCCAATAACTGATCTTTCCACAACATGGAAGCTCATGTCAAGATAAACGGCACATGGATCAATACATGAGCGCAGCACAGAAGGGCATCAGCAAAAACAGGAGTCAAACACCAACTCCTGGTTGACCGAACAGTTGCCCGCGACTGCAGAACCCGTAAGACCAACATATGCACTGCCTGGATCAATTACAAGAAAGACTCGGACTCAGTGCCACACATGGATCACTGAGTGCTTGGAGCTTGCACTTTAAGGGCCTTCATTACAAACTCAATGCGGTTGTGGAAAACCACCCTTGAAGCCAATGGGAAGCCACTTGCACAAGTGTCCATCAAATGTGGCATAAACCAAGGAGACTCACTGTCCCCACTGCTGTTCTGCACAGGTCTGAACCCCCTCGGCCAAATCATTGACTACGGATACTGACTCAGAAACGGAACCATCATCAGTCACCTCCTCTACACGGATGACATCAAACTGTACGCTAAGATCGAGCGAGACATCGACTCACTGATCCACACCACCAGGATCTACAGCACAGACACTGGAATGTCATTTGGGCTTGAGAAATGTAGCAGGATGGTG